CCAAACTAATATTCAATGGAAATGCGAGACCTGTTCACATTTACGTGGGAAAAATTCTTCTATCGGTCCTCCATCCGTTAGGGTGAATATAGCTCTTATTCGTCGTAATTGGAAGCGATGTCTTAACAACAAACTGCTTGGAAAAGCTGTGAGCAACAAATATCACAGATAGAAGAACATACCAAAAACTTGTATATGGTCCTTTACTTATGATTTTGCCAATTATGGCATGTCTACAGCTGAGCACAAAAAGGAAGTCGTGGAAAGAAAAGTTGCTTGTTAGAAATTCGTGAAATGGTCACATCGGAAACCGAAGGAATATTGCCGCGGAGTGAAGACTGCTGTGTTGTGCGAAGAAGTTTTTGCTCAGCTACCATCGACCCTGATCAATCTGTGCTAAGCTTGCGTCTGCATCATCAGAGCAATAATCTAAACTTTGCGAAATAGAGCAAAAATATTCTAAAACAAAATAAAGTGGCCTGCTGCTAAAAATAGATTATACCAAGAGGAAAAGTTTAGTGTTTTTTGTGCTATTTCATCTAGTATTTACTCTTGCTCTGACGAGCTGTCACTACGGCCTAAAACCTAGCAGATTCCTACGGGTCGTATGACAGTGAGCCAAAGACTTCATCGCAAAAGAAAGTCTTCACTTTATGTCAATCCCTCTTTAGTTTCCGGTAAGATCAGTTCACGAATTTCTTTCAACAAACTTGTCTTCAGAAATCGAAAGTGATATCGCAATAAATCACTGTGGAATTAGAAACCATATTTTCCTATTTATAATACATTAATGATATCAGTAAATAGTAATGAATTACTTAAGTTGGTTAACCTTGCTTTCGCAAATTGATCATTTTGGCATAAAAACATAAAGAAACACACTTTGAATTATCATAACTACTATATCAGGGGGCTTCTGACAATGTGCGCCTAACCAGGTCACCCCGACAACGCGATCAAGTTGCAAAATGAGATCAGACCACTCCGAAAATATTTAACGTTATTAGTAGGTTTTTGAGACTACAGCTCTTAGATAAAAATGACAATAAATGTCGCGATTTGAGATTTAACATGAACAGAACAATAATATCATTTTCGAAACTCGAATCATTCAAATAATAAAATAAATTTTAAAATAAGTCAACCCGAAGAAGACCTACTCAGAAATATATACACTCGATATTAGTTATACACTCAAATTCTACGGTAGAGAAAAATACCTACAAGTTAAATATTAGTCACTTTCTTAGGGTTGAAACTAACAGAGTTGAGAAAACACCAGGAGGTCCAACTAGTGATTGATTGGCGTTGTTTAAATTTGTCGCAGTAGATGCACGTCGCCCGGTTATACAAGCGCCCCGAAGTCCACTGGTCTGGCCACTACTGCTAATAGGAGCCACTCCTCCATCCATCGTAGAGATAGGAGTAATGTCACCGCTAGCTCCATTTTCTGCAGTTTCCTATAGCGGATCGAAGGGAGTTCAGACAAAAGAGGAGCAGGAATGTTTGGGTGGATAAATGTGAGCATATAAGAAAATGAGAAATGTGAAGTTAGAGATTCATTCGCCAATACAATATTCGAATCACCTCGGTTTCTCTGGCCCTACGTGCCGCCAGAACTCTTTGTAGATCCGACATGATATCTGGTCCGCCAGCTCCATTCATCATTCCTAGTCCAACTGTGGTGGCAGTCGAGGATGAATTCGTAAGGTTTACAGCTCCTGAGGATGTAGAAGCAGCGGCAGCGATAGCAGCTGCGGTTCGCGCCCTGTTTTGCCGTACCAGTCTTAATTGAGCAGCGAATCCGCCAGCATTTGCTATGTGGCCTACCCCAGAACTATTGCAGGTGCCAGCACTACCGGCATCGTCCTCATTTTCATCCTCTGCATCTCCCGCATCTAAATCATCCACTCCAATAATTGCAGTGCTAGTAGTGCCATCGACAACTAAAGCGTTAGACCTCAGGCCGGGTTGGCCGAGGTTAGGAGGTAGCCTAAAATGGAACCCTGAGCTAGGTGGTGGAGGTGGAGGTGGAGGTGGAGGGGGAGGTGG